CCCCGCGGCGGGGCCGGGCCCGGAGCGCCCGCGGGGTTGTAGGCCGGCACGGGGCTCCACTGAAACCCCGGAGGTCTCCGCTTTACCCCTCGTGAGGGACGCGCTGCCGGTCCTTAGCTCCTCGGAAGGCCTAGAACAAAAAGTGGTTCTCAGTGAGTAAGCTCTTTCCTGGAAAAGCTGACATTTTGAGGCAAAATTAATTTTAATTTTTAGAGGAAGGCGTTTCTTTGGTCAGTAAGTCAGGTTGTGATGTTGTGTCCTCCCATTACACGAATCCATAGGTGATTTCTGCGTCTCTTCTTGCTCATCTGGGCCATTTATCATAAACTATATGTTTAATGTGCTCCTCAGGTTTTATTTTTGGTCGTGATGCAGCACCTGTACTTTCAGCATGTTTTAGATGGTCGAGGGAAGAGTGTTGATTTAATGGTGTCAGTATTTAGACAGAAGAATGGTGTCCAGTCATATTTTTGGACATTGTGGAATATGGCTTATAAAACAGAAATCCATAACAGGTCCTTTGGTTATTTGAGTGAAATGTGGGCAGGTGAAAAGAAAAAAAGTTAAAATGCATGCTAGTTTATCCTAGAGTTTTTTTCTCTTGGGGGAAAAAAAAAAAGACAAAAAGACCCTTTCATTGCAACAAAATAATTCTGCAGCACATAATAGAAGCATCTGTGTTTGTGGCCAGGTGAAACAAAAAAGAGTCAAACTGCATGTTGGCTTATTCTAGAGTTTTTTCCCTGTGAATAAAACTGAAAAGACCACTTAAATGCAATAAAATAATTCTGCAGCACGTAATAGAAGCATCTGTGTTTGGGAATAAATGTAAAGATTTGGATCTGAAAGTCCTGCCTCTTTCATATGCTCTTACATGTGTGAAAAGTGCTTTGCCCCTCTCAAAACGTGCACCAAGTTTGAAATAGGTGACTTTGATGGGAACTGAGCAAGCTTCCTTCGTGGAGGATTGCCAGAACCTACCATTGGTGTGAAGCTCCTCTTTGTACGCAAGTTCTCTGTGGCCATGCCTGCGTCACAGCCAACAGGAGCGGCTCTGTACCGGAAAGCGGTGGGTGGTGGGGCCCAGGCACCCATTCTGCACGCATCTTGGTCACTTCTTTCTCTGGACTGGCCGTGGGCTGAGCCTGCTGCCCCTTTACAGCCGTCCCCTGTTAAGGTGCACTGCATAAGCTTGTTCTCCAGTTTCATTGAAGAGGAATCCACATAGTTACTATTACTAATCTCTGGTATCACTCCCTGATGAAACAGACTGCATTAATTGGGGGTTATTAGGAGATTTCTTTCCAAAGTAAGCTCATCGGAACTAAAACACTGATGCAGATGTTTCTGTGTCTTTGTCATGCTGATTTGGGAGGAGGAGGAAAAGGCAATGTTTAAGGAGAAATGGGATAGGACCCTTGTGTTCAAAGAGAACATGACAGTCGGTTTGGGATGCTTGGGTACCATGCCTGCACTCCAGAAAGAAGTGATACTTACTGTTCTGACCACAAAGACCTGTTCTCATCATTTGAATTCTGATCTTTAAGGACAACTGGCTTAAACCTTACGGATACAATCAACTTTTCTGCTATTTGGCTTTCTTTGACATCTTTTGTAAATCTTTTTTGTATCACCAGCTTAGTTGTATAATCCCTTCACATGCTCTGGGACTTCCCACGTGTCTCTCACTTCAGGATGTGTCAACTTCCTCCAGTGGGATTTCTGCCTATTTTTAGGGCAGCTGTGATCAAAACTGTGTTTAGAAGATGGAGCACAGTGCAGTGGACATACTGTAAATACCACTTGCCCTTTTTAGTGGACTGTTTCTTCCACCCTGGAGGAAGAAGTAAATTGAGTGGCGTTTTCAATTCTGCATAATAGTTCTTCTTAAGAATTCCCTTTGGAGTCAGTCTGTGGTTCTTGTTTCTTGCCTGCAACTTTTAAGGCAGGCTTGTCTGAACAGCATGTGATACCCGGGGCATTTCACTGCATGGGGGGAGTGTTCTGTGACTTGTTTCACAAGCTGGAGAAAGGAGTCCATGCAGGCAGCTCTCTGCTTCACGTAGGCAGGTCCCTGTAGCTGAGGCACCAGCTCATTCATGCCCCTCTCCTCCTACACACCGAAACACACCCATTCATGTAGTGTAAATCGCTTGCAGAGGGAAATGACTCACTAACTTTTGCTTCTTGGATGCGAAAGAGTTAACTCACTCGTATAACTTTTTTAAGACACAGGAGTCTAACCTGTGAGGTGCCTAGCAAGGCTGCTTTCTCAGCTGCATTTCAGGTTCTTTGGTTCATCTGTAGCACGGCTAATTTCCATCCCTTCAGCTCTTCAAATGAAATGTGAGATGATAAAGGACAAAGTTTGTAGTTCGTGCTTGCCATGGATACACCTTTTATTTACAAAGAACGCTTTACAGTTGTTGGAAGCTTCATGGATTGATTTTGAAGGCTTGATGAAGGGGGTCCTTCTCTGTCCTCACCTCCGGTTTAGTCTACTTTCTATAACTTTGAAAAAGTGCTATGTTAATCGGTCAACAACATGAATATGACAAGCATCTTAGAAGTCATTCAAGATGGGGTCTCATGCCCCAAACAGATCTCTGCAGCCAGGGTTAAAATGTGGGGTTTTTTTTCATGTTGGTATTCCTGGAACCCCGAACGACAGTGGCTGGGCAGCTTTTTGAAAAGAGCCTAATGACAGCCCCTCACCTGATTCTGAACATCCTACTCCAGAGCAAGTGTACACGGCAAAAGCACTTTCAGACTTGTATTTGGTGTGTAATGTGTTGAAAAGGAGCAGTTTGACATACAGATTGTCTTTTAAGTATCCACTTAATAAAAAAATTTATATGCAGATGTCTGCAGGTGGGAAAAGGAAGTTTGTCATTAGTGTTGTGGGACCATGTAGGAACCTTGTATTAAAGATAAAATGAGGGAACATCTGGGCTGCTAAGCAGGGAGTGGTACAAGATGCTTGGTGGTCTTTGGGCAGATAAAAATTTCTTGAACTGTGCTTTGGTCAGAGAGGTGAGCCAGACCATATTCTCCTTCCTACATCTCACCAGGCTTCACGTGTTTGTCTTCTCTTTTGTACTGACACTTGCGCTCATCTGATCTGTCAGCACACCTATTCAGGGACACAGACAGAAAAGTCCTTTTGTTTTATAGGGTTAGTTTTTGGCTGGTTTAACTCCCTGAACCTTCATTCTGCACAGTTCCAGTACTGGAATAAGGGGAGCAAACTTGTTCCTTCCAGTTGCTGTTGTAAGCTCAGCTTAGCTGGATTGCTGAACAACGTTTAGGTCTCATGACCAGTTTGATTAGACCCAGAAACAAAAGCTGCACACTTCTGCAACATTGTGCCCGAGCGATATAGCCTTGCTGAAAAGTAAGAAAGCTTAATGGTGCAGGTCAGGTAACATGAACTCGGCTATATTGATTCTGGGGCCTAAATTAGCATCCCCAATGCTGTGTTGAATTGTGCTGCCAGTGCAGTAATTTCTGTGCCATGCTGCATTTCACTCGGTAGACGTGCACTTAGTATATGCAAAACCCCTCTATTAAAGGGGATGTTGAAAGCCCTGCTCAGAGGAAGAGCCCAGGTGTTCCCAAAAAAAGGCGACACCCTTCCTTGTTAAGCATATACTAAAATATTTCCTGAATGGAGCTGGTTTGGAAGTAAATGGACCTTTCTTCTGCAGACTCTGAACCTGATGTAAGGCGTGAGAGGGAGGTGGGCTGAGGCTTTGGCCTCATGCTGGCAGGAATGTTTGGTCGGTTTGTAAAAGCAGGTGGTGTAGGAGGGGGAGTGAAAACTCTTGGTTTCGCTCTTGGAGTGACAGCATTGTTACCGCAGGTGAAAGGCTTTCTGGAAAAGAACAGAATGAAGTGAAAAATTTTTTTTTTTGTTTTACAAAGTGTCCAGCATGCTGTTTTTGATCATCTTTTGACCAAACAGTTTTCAGCCAGACTTGTATTACCTAGTTTTTAGGAAACCTGTGAGATTGTTACAGTATAGAATAGGCTGCTAAGCAGCTAGGCGGTGTTTATACAGCTCAATCCAATTATCTGACTCTTTGGTTGTTTCATCATTTCATCTGCAAGTTGTGGAGTCAGCCTCCTGAATGAGTTCCACCTGCTGTGCCAACACAAACCACTGACAAGTGTGCCTTTTGGTTGAAAAGCATAATTAGGATGAAAAAGTCATTGGAAATAAGGTAGGCTTCAGCACTTGAGGCTTGGGTTTGGTTTGGGTTTTTTGCCTCTGGGATTCTTTTCATTGCCAGTAGACAGAAAAACAGTTGAAATGCTTAGAACTTCTGGAGAATATTAGGGACGATTTTCAGTTGGCATGTTCAGTTCTTTTTCTAAACACAGCTAATGGTGCTGTGAAGGTCCTGGCTGAAGACCTCAGAATATTTGGGCTGCACACAACTTGCTCATGCCTCTGACAGTTCCCTTTGGTTTCTTAACTGTTCTTTGTTCAGTGGACATGAAAGTTGGGTACAGTCTAGCGATCGCTACTTTGGAAGAAGAACTGATTGTCAAAAGGTTCAAACTCTCCTCCTCTTCACTCAATAGGAAGAAAACTGCATACACCAAATACTGTAGCTGTTTGCAGACAGGAGAACAAACAGGTCAGAGCATCTGAGAATTGGATGCTCTTTAAGCCAGCAGTTTGAGATGTGTTTGTCTTTCCTTGCTTGTTGAGTTGCTCCACAGAAATCCACAGCCGTTCTACTGGTGTGACTTGCCCTTTTGCGGGCACTGTACCATCTTAGGTAGCAGGCTAGGCTCTGCCTGCCTATCTTATTAAGTGCCATGGGTTTCCAGATCTTACTGAATTTTGCTCAAAACATTTGGGTTTTTTTAAATAACTGTAAAAACAGCTTTATACTACCTTCCTCCTTTCCAAGACTACCTTGCAAAAATGTTTCTGAAGTTTGTCATCCAGTAGTGACTACCTGTACTGGAGGTCAGCAAAAATGCAACCCACAACTTGTTTTCCTTTAAAAATGTGACTCTTTCCAAAGTATGTCAAAGAAGTAGTATACAGACTCTATACTGACATGTGATTCTGAAAGAAGACCTCTGTTTCTTTGTGTTTCTGTATTGTCCATATTTTCAGAAAAGACCTAAAATTTTACATAGAATTCTATATACCTTTTTTGAGAGATTTTGCTTTTAGTAATGACACTAAACTAGAATTCTTTTTGACCCTGCTGTTACTTAACTTTCCTTCTTTGTCACTAGTTTGTATTTTAGAGGGTCCCCCTGTGTTTTCAGCACTGCAGCTCAGCAGAGAAGTACAGGAGACGAGTGTGGCCCAGAAGATCCCCGTGATGAGTCCAAGCATCCTCTTTCTGACTGTTCCTTAGAGCACAAAGCCATCAAATTGGAAGAACAAGTCCGGGATTTAACTGTGAGTATGCTGCTGGTGGCATCATGATGTCTTTCGTTCAGTCCCCTTGACTTGGTCTTATCTTTCAGCCCTAGCTTTTTCTGTAAGCTCTATAACAGGCTCAGAACACCACTGTGCCATGGCAGCCTTCAATACAGCTGTGGTCTAAGTGTGAAAGGGTGCACTGTGAAAGTACAGTCTGCCTTCCCCAGAAACACCATCTGTCAGTAGTACCTAGGAGAAAGACACTGATAGTATGATCCTGGCAGGCAAACCTGTATGTTGGAGACGGTCTGGTCAGTTCTTTCACAGCATTGTACAGAGGGAACGGCAGTAGCTTCATCCTGATTAGCATCACATATTGTGTCACACCAGATCCAGATTGTCCGGAAAGGATAGTCCTCTTTAGTGAGGATGGTGTGGTGGAAATGGTAGGGATCATGTTATAGGGACTTTGAAGAACAGGAGAGGTTTAAATAGCGCAGGACCAAGCAACTCTGGAGATAATGGCCCTGAGAATACTACTGCACCAAGGGATACATCAGTTGTGTGCAGATCTGTTGCTGAGACTGCCAACTTGCCTGCTAGAGAAAGGAGTGCCTCGATAGCCGCAGTGAGTCATGCAAAAAGCAGCAGCCTGACAATGCAGTGTTCAACTGAGCTGCGCCCTGAATGCTTCTGGCCTTCACTTGGGTCTTTTGAGGGAGTTGCAGTTGTGCTGATTAATCAGCAGGAGAGGGACTTGGGTTTGCATGTAATGAAAACGCAAGAGCCCAGAACAACCTTCTGGTGTGAAGTGGGCTCTTATTGAAGAGTTTCAAAGGGATTGCCAACTGTCAGGAAATGGGTTTTACCTCCTTGTTTGAAGTCTCCTCTTGCTATTGTGATTACAGGAACGATACCGTAAAGCCTTGGCAGATTCTGAGAATGTCCGGAGGAGAACGCAGAAGTTTGTGGAAGATGCCAAGCTCTTTGGTAAGCAAAGTGAGGCAGAGCTATGTTTACTGTGGTGGCCTGTCTGCCTGAGCATAAAATGCTGATCAAGAGCTTTTCTCTCCCCGCCCGTCCTGACCTCGTTCATTGTAAAGTCTGGCATGATGTTTGGCCTGGACTCTTGGTGTCTGGGCTTACTCACTATTTTTTCTGTATGTCCAACTGTGTCCTATCAGGTTTACCTCAGTGACTATTTTGTGATTTTTTTTTTTTTAATTAGAATAGGCCCAGTGTAGTTCTACTGACTTGGTTGAAATTACAGGCTCATCTGTATGCTGAGAATTGGCTCTGGCAGGGTGTATTTCATACTCTTAGCTGTGTCATCAGGCTGTGATCTCCTTTACTATATTAACAGCCTCTTCTCTTCTGCTCTAGCTCTTAGGAGGTGGATCCTGCCTGGGACAAAGGTTGTCAATTCCTATTTCAGATTTCTTTAAAACTTCTACAAGAAATATTTTAGCATCAGTGAAGTGAGCTGGATTTGTAGCTTTAGCAGCAGAGGCAGGTGAAGGGAGAGGAAACTGTTGTTTAATCATTGTGCTCTGCCAGCACCATCTCTGAGAATAAGAAACTGTTATTCTCCATAATGCATGAATCTTGTGATGGGGTTTGGTGGTTAATTCCAGTAGCTTTGAAATTAGAGCTACTGTATTTTTCTTACCGTTCTACCCATTGTGCTATAAGATGTCTGTTGAATTCTGGGATAATCAGCATCGTTAATTTTGAGGTGGGGGTTTTTTTTCTAGCTCTTTGAATTTTAGATGTATTATGCTTCAGACTTGAAGAAAAGTTAGGTTCTCGTGGAGTGAAGCATGCCATTCTATAGAGCATTAAAACTCTGGTGCAAGAGGAAATGGTTGGCAATCAGTCTGTTTCTGTCTGCTCCTTTGTTGCTTCTCCTTCATGCTTGTTCATTCTGTTTATGTTCCAACATGTATGTACAACTACAGACAGCACCAAACTATTATTTCTCTTCCTCTGTTTTCCTAACATGTCTTTCCAGTAAGTTAGTACTGTGTAATACACCCCTGCTGGAAATGTATACAGCCTAAACCTATTTTTCTAAATGAAAAAGACTGCCTGACTTTTTCATGACCAACTCAAGGACCATTTTGTCCAGTCCTTTCACCATAGTTTTAACTTATTCATAAAATTGTGGACGTACTTTTGAATGGTCATTTATTATTTTTACTCCTCCCCGCCCCGCATTGTGTTTGTTCCCTGTGTGCGTGGGCATTTGTGCGAGTTGTTTGGCAAAACATTTATGTCTGTGGGACTGTATGAGAGGGTGTGGAACGGTGTCCTAAATGACAAGTCTTACTTGCAGGCACTTTTTGGAGTGAAATACTCATGCTCTGCTTTGTCAGTTATACTATATATATGTATGTATGTGTATATATATAGTGTATAGATGTACCTTTCCTGCATGTACCTTGATTTGGGGAGTCTTTAGATTACTACCCACGTAGCGCTAAAGCTTTGGCTACAGAATACAGAAGACACTGTCTAGTCTCACTGAAGTAACAGTTCAAATCAATTAACAGCTTCAAAGGTACTTTCAAACTGCTGTGGCTTTGTGTCTGTCATTGATACTCTAGCTCTGTATGTTCTGTAAACTGCCCTTTATTTACTTCTTGCTTCTTTGTGCCTGTAGGGATCCAGAGTTTCTGCAGGGACCTTGTGGAGGTAGCAGATATCTTGGAGAAGACTGCCGAGAGTGCCGCAGAAGAAGCGGAGCCTAGTGATCCAAATCCAACTCTGAAGAAAATCTATGAAGGCCTCTCTCTCATAGAGGCCAAATTGCAAAGTGTATTTGCCAAACATGGCCTTCAGAAGATGAACCCTGTTGGTGGCAAATATGACCCATATGACCATGAAATAGTCTGCCATGTACCAGCTGAGGGAATGCAGCCGGGCACTATAGCACTGGTGACTCAGGATGGCTATAAACTCCATGGTCGCACTATCAGACACGCACTCGTCGGCGTGGCGGTGGAGTCACAGGAATGACGTGGGCTTACCCATTGGCATCTAGGACCTTACTGAGCTGAGGACCGCTCAGCACTCGGTCACAACTGCAGCTGCATGTCTTTACTTATTTATTAAGCTAGGTTTGTATTGTATGTTGGCTTCTTTATGATGTGTGCAGTCATTTTGCCATTAATTCTAAGGTACTTGTATATTTAATAATCCTTTTTGGAGTATAGGGAGTAGTACTAGGAGTCCTGCTATTTGTCAGAAATGTGGCACTGTAGCCCCTTTCTCCATTGCTCATTTCTCCTTTAAGACTTGTATGGGGAAGAGGGGAGATATGGGAGAGAAAGGGAAATTCTCTGAGAACTAAGGAAGCTTGTCTCCCAGTTCCATCTCTGAGACAGACTCCTGCAGTGGCCTTCAGGAAAGTAACTTCTCTGTCTCAGTTTCCATATCTTTAATTAAGGGAATATAATAATACTTACCTACCTCACAGGGATGTGGTGAGGCTTTTTCCTTGCAAAGCACTCGGAAGAGGAAAAGCCCAAAGGGCTGAGTATTATTATCAGGCTGGTTTTGGTGTCTTCCCTTGTCCCCGGAACCCCCAGGTGGGGATGGTCACTTGAAATGACATTTAGGGGCAGCTTTTTCTTATGCTTATCACTTTAGGAAAAGAATCCCAAAATAATGAAATCTCTGTTGTACTACAATTGAATAGGGATGAGGTTTTAAAGAGAATTCAGTTGTTAGGTCAGGCTTTAACATGCTAATATTTGTTCTCCAGGTAGAATTTCAGCTTGCCTCCTTGCTCCTAAAGGTAAAACAGGGAGTAATGGTTCATGGTGGAGCCCGAAAACTGTTCTCAAATCTCTTTCTCCAAACAAAAAATGTATTTTGGAGGAGAGCAGTCTCTCTTCCCTGATGGGTATTTGTGCAGCTTTCAAGCATGACAAATTATGTGCTCTTTGTTGCAGCTGCTGGCAATATGGAGATGTGCCCTTACGCAGGAAATCTGGACTGTTTTATTTTCTCAGCTCTCCAGTAATGGTTCTCGGATAACACTAACTTCCAGTTCACATTCAAATTCTATTTTTCCATGGTCATAGTAAATATTGAACCTTTTGGGTTTTGATGCAAGGAGAAAAATCTTTTCTACTAAAGGTCTCAAGTGCCCTTGAACCAATTTTAGCAGTGGTGACAAGAAAGCAAGAGAAGCAGAAGGCTGAGGGAAGTGAAAGCTGACCTCAAGCCGTCCTCTTAGTTGGAGGCATGTTGTTGTCACAGCATGGTGTATGTATTTCCCAGTGGTCCTTTTGCCTGGGAGTCCATTAATCTCAGCTGAAAGGATGCAGTTGCTGAGTAAGATCAGAATTTAACCCTTTACAGAGCAGCAAGTAGTATAATGAGAGAAGAGTTACATAAACCTGCCTATGGCCTGCACTACACAAAACCAAGGCAAGAATGGTTGTTTTTCAGGTTGTTTCTTACTGATTCATTAATTCCTGCCTTTTTACTTTCTGGATTGGATCTGTGGCCTGACACTTACTTGAGATCCACTTCAAAAACTCTTTACTTATGGTGGATGCCATCACTGGTTTGGAAGAAAGCTTATTCTTCTCCCATTCCTTTGCAGGCTTCAGTTGCATAATCCTTTTGTGGTGGACTTCAAGATTACCGCAGCCTTCAATTAGCAGCTATCAACAGTCTTTCATCTGGGGATACTATGTGCAGCTAGTTGGTTGTCATTCCAGAATTTTAAGGAAGATGCACGTTTCTAATGTGCTCCATGACAGCTGTATGTGGGTAACTCAGTAGCAGATACTTTTTGAAGTGCGGTTTTCTGCCTCTGCATAGATAGGTTTTCAGGCACACACTTGAGATTTCAACCCTGAAACAGTACTTCATGGCAGCATTTGATCACTTTGGACAAACCTCTTGTTCAGTGCTCTCATGTTATCACATTGTTGGAAATTTCAGAGATATATGGGACTTCCTGTTCATTGTTTTGCTGGTCTACATACTGACTGGGTCACCAGGTTACGCTGTTACTTAAGACAAAGAACAGGTAAAATATGAAACGTGGCAATGCAAGTCTTGCTGTTCTGCCTCAGGACTGTCTGCAGCCTGTTCTGAGGAAACCATGTCTTCAGCTGGAAGGAGCAGTTGGGTTCTCTGCTGCCTCTTCAGCCCCTGCTGTATCAGCTGAGTCTTTTTGCAGTATGTGGGGAGAGCTGGTTATGGAAACTAACTTTGAATGTGAAACTTATTTATAAGGAACTGAACAGAAGCAAAGGCATGTTACACAACAGATTTCTGTCATAGAAGGGCTGCAGCTTACCTGAGCTGGATTTAAAAATAGTGTGTGACCAGAAGTGATGGTAACCTCACTACACCCTCCTACAGGCCCCATTTAATTTTGGGCAAGCTATTTTCCCTGTTCTTGCCCAGTTTTTTTCAATCCATGAAACTTCTACAGGCTCTTACTGGGCTTTTATGATGATTACTGTAAGATGTACCCATTGCTTAGAGACTCTTTTACAGAAGTTACCAAATCCTCTTTAAACTGACCCATGGAGCCACTTGACTGTGAAAGTATCCTACAGCTATGTGGTCTACCTTCAGACTATTTGTCAGGCCTGCCTGTCTCCTCAGCTATGCACCTGGCTTTGCCTTAAAGAAATACCCTAAAATGCACTCCAGACCTTCTGTCTGTAATAAGAGGTTATTGATTCAGTTATTGTATCTGGGATCCGCTTTCACTGAGGCACTGTTGTGTGGCTAGAGCAGGAATCTGAGGGATCCAGTTCCTGTGCAGTCTTTCTCACCCTCCTACAGGCCCCATTTAATTTTGGGCAAGCTATTTTCCCTGTTCTTGCCCAGTTTTTTTCAATCCATGAAACTTCTACAGGCTCTTACTGGGCTTTTATGATGATTACTGTAAGATGTACCCATTGCTTAGAGACTCTTTTACAGAAGTTACCAAAGAGATAAATACTGTAGCTGTTGTTTGTCCTGGTTTCTGCTTCCTTTGAATGGTGAAGTGAAAATGAAATAACCAAACCTGGATTCCATCACAGAATCCGTATTTCCTAGGCAAAATTTGATTCTCTTGCCTTTCAAGCACACTTAATGATCTCTTTTGATGAGATTGCGTAAGGGTGGATTGAATTTCTACTTTATAGATTCTTGCTCCCTTGTCTGCCCTGTTTGTGTAAAACTTGCACACTCAGCACAGTGAGGCAGAGTCCCTGTTGGTGTGGTTCTGTTGCACTCTGCAGAGTTACAACAGAGAGGAGACTGACTCGTGAGCTTTTTCTCTCCAGTCACTTTATTCAGTGACTATTTAACAAAACACAGGAGTACGTTAGAAGGGATGGAATAGCAGAGGAGAGGAAGTGTCACATACCTCTTAGTCATTTCCACTCTGTTCGCCCAGCCGTGAACTGAAGAGCTCGAGCTCGGAATGCAGACAACTAAATAAGACGTGCATGGGATGGTGATGTGTGGACCTGCATTTCTGCTCTCGGGAAGCAGGCAGCCCCGCTGTACGTGGGCATTTGCCTTGTGCTGTGACCTTGCCGTACCCTCTTGGTGGTACGTATTTGAGTTGAACTCCTGGACGAGTCTCCAGTGGCACTGTCTCCTGAGCATGGCAGCATCTTAGCTCTGATCAGGAGCAGTGCAGAATGTGAATGTTGCTTTGTGAACCTTAAATTCTCAGTGCTTCATCAGCAGAGCTTATGTTGAGAGAGACAGCTGTGATAAATCAATAGCTATTAGTGGTCCTTTAATTTTTAAACAAATGTATTTAAGTTTTATATGTGAATATTGTAGTATTTTTTTATTTTAAAACTTGAGATGTTTTGATATTACTTGCAAAGTCAAATGAACAAAGTGTTGCTAATCTCCAAAAATTGAAGTCCATTACATTGGTGGGAAGCCTGTATATATTGTATTTTTTTGTGTTTCTGTGCTCTTTGTTTACCCAAAGGTTCTGGCTGTATCAAAGACAAAGGTTGAAGTGTGGAAGTGGTGCAAGTAATTGACAACGACATTTGAGTTAATGTTGGAAAGGGCTGATTTCCTTTAGCTGTCCAGATACTGTCCGTTTGCTAATAAAAAAAAAAAAGAAAAAAAGGATGGCAGTTGCTGCTTCTTCCTTTTTTCCCTGCCCCAAACTGGTGCTCCTTCTGACTGCTACTCTAATCAGCCCCACGGCTGCAGATTGAAAGGGTTTTTGCTATTCCTGATCTGCTTGTCTAAAATAAGGGCTATAGTCCCTGGCAGTGCTTTGTTGAACGTTTTATTAACAATGCTTCAGGTGGACTGGCAGCAAGGCACGCACATGCGTGCGTGTCCTCTTTCCTCATGCAGGTGAGCTGTCGGGGATTTCTGCACTGATAAACTGCCGGGGTGTGTCATTCCCTGGTGCTTCTGTGCCTGCTTCTGTGTCTGTTCCTATTAAGTCCACTCATGGACCATCATGTAAGAGAAAGGCTCCCTGCCAGCCTTGGGTGGCGGTTCGTTCTGCAGAACTCTGCTAACAGTTGAAATCTTAACATCTGGTTTTATTTTTGCCATTCCATTCTCTCACAGCTTCACTTTGCTGCGTTTTTGCCCTTTTGTGTGGGGTGTGTTGTAGCAGGCGTACCGTTTGGCAGCTTGATTAAGGATGGCTCAGTATACAGCGTGTATTAACACTTGTGCTATCCACAGGCAGGTTATGATTTCAGGGATTTGTGGGAGAGAGACAAGAACAGGCTTTCTTTGTAGGGTGTGATTGCAACAAATAGCATTCTCCCTTCGTGCGTCCTCTGCAAAAATAGCTGGGCCTCCATTCCTGGTTTTGCCTTGTTCTTGTACTACACGGTGCCGTGCTGGTGAGCCTTGCTTGCCTTGTTCTCCTGAAGCTCTGAATGCCCCTGGGCACTTCTCACTAGAAAAAAAAAAACTTTGCAAGACCATTTACAAATGGCCTTTATGGGGCGAGATCTGTATTTCTGTGCTAAAGATGTGCCAGCAAAGTCCCCTTGTGATTGCAGAGGTCATGTCTCATTACTGGGGCTCTTCCTCATTCTGCCTAGAATGTGTGGGCTTTGCTTGGTGTTCGCTAACCTGTCTGGACCAGGAAATGCTGCTGCCTGCTGCTGTGTTAGTACTTTCTGGCTCTGCTGGTTTTTCTCTGCAGCAACAGCAAGAATTGGGAGTT